AATTTTGCCCATAAAGACGGTTTTTGAGTGTGCTCCACATCAGGAAGAAGTCGTTCGGCAAAAGATCCTGTGGTCTTTTCCTACTATACGTGCCCGCTTCGCTGTGCATAAAATTTTTGAACGATATATTTCTTTATAAATCTATCAATGGTGGTATACAGTTTGAGTCTTTAAATTGGAAAATTATTCCATTATCTCAAACACAGATCTTAAACAAAATGCTTGAACATGTCAATTATTTATTATTTTGTTTAGTCAATTAAGTTGCTCATATTTTTACATATAAAATATTTCTACAGAAAGCAGATCCTAAAAGAGTATCAGGGAATAAAATTGCCAGATTTGAAATAAACTCCTTGAGTAACCAAAATATCATTTGATGGCTATTGACTGCGAATAAGACAGCCTATGGCTGCCATATATGTATAGTCGACAAGCCGACTGCTGTAAGACTGATGCCAACGACTGTCAAGAAAATGTACATGTAATTCCAACAGTGAGACACTCAACGTTGAGATATTCCCGCGAAAACATTGCAATCATTTCTCTGGCTATTGATTATAGTTTTACCTCATTCAGTGTTTGATTTGTCTACCCAATAACGATATTTTTGTCTCAACTTACCTTGCATTTCAACGGCGGTGGAAGTTGAATGGAGTCGAAGAATTGTCAGAAAAAAGTATGTTCTTTGGGTTCACGGTGTCTTGTCCCTGGCTGTAGTGTCGTGGCCGGGAAATTGCACCAAGACATATAATGATGCCGGACGGGGCTACCCCTATCGGCCATACCAGGCACCCTCTACTGACTGTGGTCATGTCTCGCGGGTAGAGGGTGTGGGGAGTCTTGGCTTAACCGCCTGGACTAAGAGGAAACAACCTCACCAAAAACCTAAATCCTACGATGGCGAGACCAGGTCAAAGGGATGCGTGGCTAAATAGAGGACTAGCCATTACTGGCCTCAACCTTTGGGTATCAGGGGTAAATACAATGGGGTGCATTGTATTTACCCCTTACTTCTACATGCTGGGCTCTGTAGAAGTGGCCCGACTATCCCTAGCGACTCGTGGGAACACTATGAGATCTAGTATTAAAAACATCACCGGTGAAGCTGTTGGCTGTGGGGAAGCCCCCTAGTGACACTGGGAACATTACAAATTAAAGTTCCAAGGGACCAGATCCAAAGGAAACTACAAGAGGGGCGGCTGACGCTTGGGATCATCCTTCACAAGTGGCACACAAGCTACCACCTTCTCCAGCAAGGCTCGGGAGCCTACCTCTAGACCCAATAAGCGACACAAGCTACCGTTTCGTTTACTCGGCCTGGGTCAACCAGGCGGGCTAGACGATCCTCTGAGAGTAGGTCTTAGCGGAGCACAAGCACGGAGATACCTCCGACTTCTCCACGAAGGACTTGCTTCAGAGGGAGCAAAAGCGAAAACACTCCTCCGAAAAGGGGAGAGTAAAGAAATCAAGAAACAACCGGACTCATCTCCATCAAAGGGCAAGAGAGGGAGCAAGAACCTCTCACCTCTTCTCTGGCAGGGAAAGAAAAAAAGCCAGGATGGAAAGCCGTCCAACACTGGGAGGCAGGCAGGGACGTATCACCAGCTTTGCCGCTATTGCTGGACAAGTGAAAATGGCTGTACTGCCAAAGGATTTCCCAGAGGTTGCTCTGACCACCGACCAGCAAACGTCTCTAGAAGAGGCTGGACGCCCCCCTATACTGGACGCAGTAGTGGCGATCGGATCGCAACACAACGATCTACAAAATCTGGGGCAGCTGCGTTTTGCGGGGATACACTTTCGGGTAGGCACGATCCTCACAGATTGTGTATCTCAAGAATCGGCGAATGGGTTGGTGGAAATCGCACCTAAGCTTAAAAAATGGCAAGGGCCGGAACTGCCCTTGCCCAGGTCCTCACAATAGGAATTGACCTCAAATCCAAGAAGGCAATAGAGAAAGAGGGACATATCCTCTATTATAGATACGGGACAACACCGGTATCAGGTCTAAGGAGAGACCAAGTTAAAGAGGTGGAGAAAATGGAGACAGATCCTCCAGCCTTCACATCACGGGTTCCTCAGCCGGAACCAAGCTCCTCGACTGTGAAGGGCGGCACGGAGGGTTAAACTCCAACCGTGGAAGGGTGTGTACCCTCGGAGGAAGAACTGTTGTCAGAGAAGGATGGGAAATACCCTGTCCCCTCTACAACAGAGGTATATATGATGGGTTATAGACTGTGTGATGACTCAAGGAAAGGGGGCACAATAGATCTTTAAGGTCGCATTGATTACACACAGTTATCACCCCCCTCCCCCCTCTTACTCATTCTACATTTTACATTGGGTTCACGGCAATATTTTGAAATAAATGCATCATTTGCTTACAAAGTTGTAGTCTCCTATCGCGATCATCTTCAGTTCATTGCTGTCAATCAATCTGTAATTTATAAGGATGAAAATGTCCCATATTACTGAAGAATACTGTATCTGTGATACTGAATACTAACGAATTTTATATTCTATTGCAATTTATTGGATATCGTATATTCGTCTGGTTATTAGAATTTTCTTGAACGTTCAACACAAAATTGAATTTAACATTTTCGCATAATGCAGTTCTTGCTTATTTTCTAGTTTTCGTACATGACTATTTCCCCTAAACTTCTGATCAATTTTGCTCAGCGTATTCCATGATAATGGTGAAAAATCTGAATATTTTTCTCTACAAATGAATAACTTCATTCTGGGCTCTTTGTCTGTTCCGTATCCTTTGAGTATTAGGATATCGATTCGACGGGAAGCTATCTCTTCTAATCTTTCTATTTCACAATATTGAAATTAGGCATTAGTGAACAATAAGTATGGCAATATTCGACAAAAGAACTATTGCAAGGCTTCAAAAGTTGCTTGTCCCTTCAGATAAAGAAATAAAGTTGTTTAGCTTTCGATATTAACGATTTCGACCGAGTGTTTTTACCGAAAATCAACCATAATCACGACACGTATTTATCAAAAAACGCTTTCTATGAAGTGTCCTGCATCGCCAACGCAGCACGCTTTCATAAGAAAATGTTTTTTTTGATAAATACAGATACGCCCAAAGATAAGAAAAACTGCATATATTTTTATATTTTATTAAAACTGAACAGTTTAACAATAATGCAAAACCACTCAAATGTCAGCACAGCTTAAGTTGTCAACCTAGCCTATGATTTTATCATTGTCAAATGTTATTTGTTGTCTTGTTGTTCTTTTGTTGTCTGTGCTTTGGTCTGCACTACTACTAAGTAGTTATAATAGCTACGCTTAGTGTCCCCGAAATGTATTTTTGTAATTTAAAACTGGTTAAAATGAAGCAAAAGGTTTATATTTGATATCAATGAAACTTTTAGTAATGTAATTGAGAGCGCGATTGTTAAATTCATTGTTGCCAACCATGGACATATTCGGCACTGGAATTTAAATTTCCCGCTGGGGATTCACGTAGTATCTCTGATGTAAAAAATGTCAAGTTGCCACATTTATTTATTTATTTCCAGACAGTGTCATTGGTTTCGACACTTTAGATTTGTATTTCGAGTTTTTGGTTTAAATAAATAATGTTGTGATACTTCAAGCTTAAAAATGTTTACTAGCAGACTTTGCAGTCGAACATTGTTCTTTTTAGAACCTTTTTTAGTGCGAAGTGTACAAGATTAATAGCCGTAAAAAACTCGCAATTATTAGAATGTTTTGAACGGAAAAGCGGTAATAATGGCCCTTTATGTCAATTATGTGCTGCTAAGGAGGTGAGTTTTGTTGATGTAAATAATAACTGTTTATATATTTATAATTAATTTATTTTTGTTTCCTAAAATATTTTGATTAAAAGAAAATATATAAAAGAGGGCAACTCTGTGTCGGTCAAGCTTAATCACGTGACTAAAAGTTTATTTGATATGAACTATAGTTTTTCAGTTTGTCTATACATATACCGTATGATCGAGAAAAAACGGCGTCCAGTTGGCTGGGAAATGAAGATCGCTGTCATTTTATATGTAAATTTATATGGGAAATGTCATCGATCGTCATTTCCCAGCCAACTGGACGCCATTTTTTTTCGATCATACGGTATTATTATAGTCTGTGAAGCGAATAACTTTGAATTTGACAGTTCCCGCGGGCTTTTCTAGTGGTTAGCAACTTGCGACCCTGCTGACGCAATGCCGCCTCTAATAAAACAGCCTCACTTGACTATGGCTGAAATCGCACTCCATAGTCAATGTAGATAGTTTTAGTGTTAAGAATAATAATTTAAAAAAATATGTGGTCATCTTTTGACAAGTTTATATTAGTTTATTAATTGTAGTAAACATTATGTGGTGTGTGGTGTGAATATTTTATATGTAATTTTTTGGATTATATTCGACACTATTTTTTTCATATGACACAACACTGATGAAGGCTATAATGTTACCCGAAACGTTTTTTTAAACCAAATAAAAATAATGAAAAACCAAATGAAAACTTAATCAGCGTTTTTCCCGAACCTAAATCCCAAGAAAATCAAAAATTTTAGAATAATTTTACATATAAAATGACAGCGATCTTTATTTCATAGCCATCGCTGACGCCTTTTTTTCTATGATATTTTTTTTTATTTTCCATTGTAAGTTAACGAAGTTTGAATAGCAACGGTCAAAAAATCAATAAATACTAACAGCGCTTTCAGATGGAGCGGACCTTCCGCGACGGACCGTCCGTCTTGTTTTTTTCAAGATAGGCGTCGGACGAACTCCGTCCGACGGAGCATATGCGTCCATGTGAAATTGTTCATAGAAACTCATGGTACTTGCTCGAAGTCGCGGACGCTCCATCGCGGACGGTCCGCTCTATCTGAAAGCGCTGTAAATATGTGATATAAAAATTGCATACCATTTTTTTTTTGGAAAAATAAATTTGAAAAAAGATATAATATATTTACTTTGTTTTACGTATCGTTTTTTATTTTGTTTCAGGCTCAGACCTAGATGATGAGGATGTCGAAGACCTACAGAATTCCGATGGAGGTCAGTGTGAAGGCTCTGGGTCAACGAAGGCTAGGAGACGAAGGACGGCTTTTACAAGCGAACAACTTCTAGAACTCGAAAGAGAGTTCCATGCCAAAAAGTATCTTTCGTTAACAGAACGAAGCCAAATAGCATCCGCTTTGAGGCTCAGTGAAGTACAAGTAAGTCGAAAAATATACTTCTGTTATTTATTATACGCTGTTATGTATGGAAACGGTCGATTATTAGGTAAAATATACAAGGTACCGCAAAAAGTTAAATACAAAAGTTATAGGGTTTTTAAATGTCTATTGGCGAGTAAAAAATTTATATATACAGGGTTCTTCATAAAGTCGTGGCACATCAAAGTTTCATTTTTTTAAATAGAACGCCCTGTATGTTATTGCATATTTCAATTCTTCCTTCAATTCTAAGCAAAATTCGAAATACACACAATGTACCTCAAACCAACCGTTTCCGAATTACTGACTTTTGAACATATCACCACAGATCGATCACTTAAACAATTTGATTTCATTAATTTCGATATGTTCACTTTCAATTATAATGCTTTCTGTCGAAACTGTGATACTTTTGTATTGGATTTTTAAATTCCTATTAGCTACTAGTAAATTTAAGATGGAAAACAACAATTTAATATTATATAATTTAGCAAATTTAAGTATACAGGGTCGGCCATAAAGTTGTGGCATATCAATTTTTATTTTTTTTTAAACGAAACCCCCTGTATATTATTGCATATTTTAATTCTTCCTTCAATTTTAAGCAATAATCGTAATACACAATGTATGTACATAAATTGAAGAATTGAAATGTTAAACAAAAATTTTGTAATTTGCAGACTTAATATAATAGTCTAAGAGCTAGCAACGTTTTCGAGAAAGTATTTTAAGACATCTCTTTGATATATCTTTTACTATGCTCTCTGGAACAGCATGCGGCCCGTCTGGCTGCCGATACCCGTTGCGTTTACTACTGCGCATCGGAAGAAGAATCTATATTTTTTATTAATTTAGTCCTACAAATTCTAGTATTGAATATAAATCGAACATGTCTCCATAGCGCAGTGCGTAGAGTTTCCGACCGCGAACCGAAGATTCAGAGTTCAAATCCAGGTCAGGTCAAAGACTTTTTTCTTTTATTTTCGTTTATATTCTGATATTAGAGTATTAGAATATATACTATCAGAATATAAACGAAAATAAAAATAAAAAAGTCTTTGACTTAATCCGGATTTGAACTCTGAATCTTCGGTTCGTGTTCGGAAACTCTACGCACTGCGCTATGGAGACATGTTCGATTTATATTCAATACTAGAATTTAAAGAACTAATAAAAATATACCCAAGTAGCACGAAATATTGGCTGCTCATTGTTTCTATATTGGCTCAATATTGATTCATTTTCGTTCGCACATCAATGTTGTGCCAATGTTGGGTCAATATTGTATTTTATTCAGTACATCTAATCTTGGTAAACAATATTGTACCCATATTAGTTTCTTAGTTTTCGCCAATATTGAAAATAATCAATGTCGGCCCATGATTGGCATTAACAATATTTTATTGTGACATTGGCCCAATATGCCTTTTATATTGATGTTTTGGATATTGGCATTTACATAATTAACTAAATTGGAACAATATTGAAATGCATTCTGTTTAGAATAAAATCGCTACCTATAGTAGATATCGATACCTGGGTTGATACTTTGACATGTGGCTTGCATCCCTACTATCTCATGATTTTCATAAAAGTTTGCTTTTAAAATTCTTGCTCGATTCCTAAAGCATCTAGCGCCAAGGATCGATCGGGTATTTCGCGTGTAATCTATAAATAAAAAAAAACTTACACCAAAGACTAACCAAGGCGATTTGGCGTATTTTAATTTATTTTAAATAAATAAAGAAATAAATAAAAACAGCTGAAAAAAAAATAAAAAAAAGCTCTGCCTCTGCCGGGGCTCGAACCATCACCCGTCGCTCCCGAATCGGCAGCCTCAACCACGGAGCTACACGCTGCTTTAGAAACCAGACTCTATTGAAGCATTACTTTCTTCTGCCGTTCCAATACGCATGCGCCGGCGCCGGGTGATGCTTTGGAATCGCCGCGCGCCGGGCCGCGTTCCGGTACCTAGATCAGTGTTGCCAGATGTAACATAATTATCCAATTATTATAACAAAATTTTCCCAAAAAAAATCTGTACCATAATCGATAGTTGAAACATAATTTGGTAACCTGTTACAATTAATGTTTTATCAACCATGAAATATATTTTTATGAGAAATAATTTAACTTTAAGGTAGTTAATGCAAAATAACTCAAGTGGTTTTAAAGTTTAAAAAAAATGTTAAGGTATAAAGCAGTAAATATCCGCGGCAAATCAAGTAATTCCGATTTTAAAATGCGGGAAGAGAAACCAGACCCCAAAATATAAAACTGACTGAGAAAATACGTTTAATAGCTGGTTGAAACCTATTAAAATTAAGTTAAACCGACAAAAAATAGAATCCAAATTTATTGCTATCATTATATTTTTTAGAGAATTCCCTCAGCCAAATATATCGCTTGTAACATAATTTTATAATAAATTCGATACTTTGATCTACATTGATCCATAATTTCATATCCGACACCTGGCAACGCTGACCTAGACGCTTTTACTGACGAGTTGACATGACATAAAAAGCTGTTGCTGTGACAGTGAAAGATTTCTTTTGTAAGCAAATTGTGTTTTTATCGTGATCAAATCAAAGTAAGTACTGTTGATGTTAGTTGAGTAAGTATGTCGAATAAACCTATTCCAATGCTTAACAATTAACACGTATAATACAAGAAATATGTGCTATAGCTATAAGCTGTATTGTTTGTAGGTTCACGGGTACCTAGGTTTACAACTTACAACCACAGAAAATTTTACTGAATCCAGCTTGAAGAATATTTCTTTAGTAAAAGTAAGTACCTAATATATTTTTTTTTCCTGTAACACACAATAGTAGTTTTGAAGCAATGTGTAATCGAGAGTATAATTTATTAGATTGTTAGGGCGCTTTGTTAATAAATATTTTTAGATTCGGTATTGCTACTTAGGTAAATAAACAGACATTTTTTAGGTAAATGTCGGGAAAGGCAAAAAAATACAGGTTTGTTAAAAGTTTTCTTGCAAATAAAGATGAGTCTGACGGTGACAGTCCTACGAAACGCCTGGAAAGCCAGGAGAGCATTATACTTCTATCAGACGATAATACAAGTTCTATTAATGAAGTTAACACACAACTTACTAATATTGTTAATAATAGTGATAGCTGTCTTAGTTTTGTTTTTGAAGAGTCGGGGGACTTGGGGGCAAGCAATACACAGACTGTAGAGTTAAATTACGATTCCATATCAAATGTGTTAGAAAATCATAATCAGAATTCACTTGCAGATAATTTAAAATGTTGGGCTCTTACACACAATGTAAACCATAAACAACTAGTTGCACCACTGAATAAAACGCTCCTACTTCTAAGTTTCTGCCACTTTGCATAAACCATATTATGAGCATATCATCTCATCATATTAGAAAATAAGGCAAAACACAAAAAGGATAACCCAAAAAACTTTATATTATTTTATAGATGCAGTGAAAGTACATTTTCCAGACGCAACTGATCTGGACATTACGCGATGTATTGGTATTTCACTAGCGACAGCCGGAGACCGGGATGGGGGAAGAATATTTAGAGGTTTGTGTCCTTATAAATTTAATTTTATGTGTTAACTGAAGTATTTTTTAGCTAAAAATAATACCAGCCATGAAGATAATATGTAGGCTTATTTTATTACTTAGTTAATATTTTTGTAAGATAAATTGTTTTCTTCAATACATTAAAGTTTCCATACACACATGGGTATTTTGTTTTATGTTTTCCCTAAATTTGAAATAAAATTAAGGACAAAAACTAGTGGTATTATGATTACCAATGTTGGCGTAATATTACATTTTTAATGGGGGCAATATTTTAGTAACTTGTTGGACCAATATTTAAAAACAATGTTGGGCCAATATATCAAAAAGTGACGAATTATTATTGGCCCGATATTAAAAACTAGCTTGGCCCAATATATATTCTACATTGGATCAATCTTGGAACAATATTGTTGTGCTACTTGGGTAGGATCTTCTTTCAATGCGCAGTAGGGAACGCAACGTTTACCGGCAGCCAGACGGGCCGCATGCTGTTCTAGAGAGCATAGTAAATGATTTATCAAAGAGCCAGACGTCTTACAATACTTGTTTTTCCGACGTTGCCAGCTCTCGTACTATAATCAAAGAGTAGATAAGACAAGAGACGACAGTGAACAAAGAAGTCGAATTTCGCGAGAGAGACGCAGATATATTAAAATTTAAAGGACCCAACAAGTCCCATTTTGTCTGTTGCCAAGTATATTTCTTTGAAAAATAAACAAGATTTTCTGAAAATAAATTAATAATATAAGAAGGATATAAGTAACGTATATTAATACCGAAATGTAAATTTTTAGTTTAGGTTGGTTTAGGTTCTTTTTTCGCAATGTACTGATAATATCAAAGAAACAGAATGACTAAGTTGATCGATTTCAAAGATAAACAGATAAAATCTCAAAACCTGACAACGGCGTATTTTATCTAATCTAAAATCTAACCTATGATTTTAGGACGCTAATCAGCTGTGCTAATCAGGCTTAAACATAAACAAATCTGATTAGTTGTTTTCTTGCATTTTTGCCTTTTTAAATTGTGTTTTCAGAGTTTTTCGATATCTTATCGTTTTGAGAGTTTTTAAGGTTTAATTTTAGTATCGTTTTAATATGAATACTGAACAGGACACGAGTAGAGCAGGAAAAGACGAGATGGTGGCAATGTGTGTGCTTATAAAGACTGCAAAAATAGGTCTTATTCTTCGACAAACATAATATTTCACTCTTTTCCAAAGGATCCTGAAAAGTATTTTTATAGAAATATACTATATAATTATGTTATTAAACTAAGAAGGAAGACTTAAAGAAGTTATTAAACTAAGATCGAAGACATGGTTAGAAAGCTTGTAATATATTTTTACAAAAAAAATTGAGCAACTCTATTTTTTTGTACATAAACTCCACATTGTGATTTGACACTTGTTCAAGTCCATATGTAAAAAAAATACACGTAAATAAAACATTTCTTACAAATCGACTTGGTCACTTTATCTTGTTTACAAACGATATACAAAATATTGCTTTTATTATCTTTATTCCCCGACAAATATGTTTCTAATTATAATTTATTTTATATAATATTTAGAAAACTCATTTTTTTTTCGTTTCTATTATTTATTTCTTTACCCATACAATAACTATTTATAAGCTATACAGGCAAGTTTTAATAATAGTCTATTTTAAATTTCCCGCGAAAAAATTACGAAAATTTAAAGGGACAAGTGAGACGAGGTCACTCTCCCCACCACTGAAACATGAAAGGTACCGCGCGAACAGTCGTCTCTTGTCTTATCTACTCTTTGCTATAATCTCATTTTATACATCTATAAATGCCAACTTGAGAACTAATGTCAAATATTATTAAGTCTCACCGTTTCGGCAGAATAGTATCGTTAAATGAATCTTTATGTCACTTTTATGTGCTGCTTCTTGAAACTGAACATATCGAAATTAATTAAATCAAATTATTTAAGTGATATTTTCAAAATTCAATAACTCGGGAACGGTTTGGTTTCGATTTTTGCTTAGAATTGAAGGAAGAATTGAAATATGGCAGTAATATACAGGGGGTTCTGTATGCATAAATGTGTTACTCGCTAATAGACATTTAAAAACCCTATATAATTTTTGTATTTAACTTTTTGCGGTACCTGGTACATTTTACTTAATAATCGAACGTTTCCATACGTAACAACAACCCTGTATACCCAGAAGGTGTAGGGTATAGATATACCTTTTGAGAGTATATTTTGGTCAGGGAACCTTCTTGTAAAATTCGATGATTCACCATTCATCATTCACCATTCATTTTAAATTGTACTGTCTTCGTTGCTGTATTTTCGATAGGCTATAGGAAGGCTATAGGCTATTGTGCTATTGTGCAGTTCCTTGTGGGGTAAGATAAGTAAGATATCAACAAATTGTTGTTAAAGCTTGTTATAGTATGTTAAATTAACAAAATTAACATACTTCGGCATATACCGGGCAAGGAAAATAAGGTCCTGCTACTCTGGGTGTCCGCTCACCAAGAGATAGAAGGGAATGAAAAAACACACGATCTAGTGAACACTCCATACTAACCAGCCCCGTTCTGCGTTCCAAGCGGAAACCAACTTAAAGTGGAACTCAAGAACCTGGAAGTTGAATAAGAAAGTTGCTGTCAACTTCCGGTTTTTCCGGAAGTGCCGCTATATTGAAAATATTTTTAATCGATAGATCACGTTGTAAAACAATGATGTGTAGTTCTCTAGAAACTTTTAATGCACGCTTAGCTTGGGGCAGCCTGTATACCGGATGCAAAACATCGGGTATTTACCTAAATTTCAATATACCGGGTTTTCTCTGTTGATAGGTAATTAGGTATTTAACAAAAGCTCAAGTTACATATTTTATTCTAGTTTATCTGCACACATACCTAAATCTTGTAACAAGCTTTTATATCTTATAAATTGTTGAATTTAGTTATTCATTTTTTTTTTCATTTTAGAGCATCTAAATAAAATCTTGTTTTCATAATATTTTTAACTAGTATATTTTTATATTCATAAAGTAATTTTAATTGCAGGTAAAAATATGGTTTCAAAACCGACGTGCAAAATGGAAACGTGTGAAAGCAGGCTTAGGTACAGGTACCCACCAAGGGCCGAAAGGCTCGCAGCAAAAAAGTAAATTAGTCGTTCCTATTCCGGTCCACGTCAATCGGTTCGCCGTCAGAAGCCAGCACCAGCAACTGGAAAGGGCCCTGGGTGACCTTGCTGGTAGGGTTTTGGCAAGTCACGCCGCCCTTAGGGTAGGCCTAGATCTACACGCGTTTCATCCCCACGCTCATCATCAGTCACCACCCCATTAGTGTTATGTCGTATAGTTAATAACAAAAAACATTATCTCATATAGAAACCAGTGGAGTAGCAGAACTAATGAAATTGTTCGTAATCTGCCCTAAATTTTGACAGGTTTAAAATGAAACATTCAACTTATTATTTTTTTGATGTCAGAAACATTCTAAACACACATAAATACAATCACCGGCACGAAAAACGGGCACCTTAAAATTTTCATGTATTTTAAAGTTTTGTATATTGTGTTCTAGTGGACCGATTTTGATGGTTTTTTAAGGAATTTGCAGCTAAATTATTTGACTTTTTAGTATCTCTTTCTAAATAAAAATGAAAGTTGCCATCTGTAAATCATACGAGGGAAAACAAAATGTTGATATTTTGGTGAAAGTTTGAAACACCCTTTTAGTACGTTAACAAGGCAAGGAATTTAAAAATAATTTTTTGATCTAGGTGTATCTTTTTTCGATAGTTTGTTTTTTGATTCATATCAATAGCTTTATTTTCTTTTTTGGAGATATTCGCTTTTGCTTTTGGTTTTGGTCCTAGTCAATAGAGCTATAAAATAGTGTTTATGATTTATGTAATGTCACGGTCTTTCAAAAATCATATTATTGTAGTCTGTTCAGCAGTTACTCTAGCAGATATGTTTTAAGTCCAAAAGTTAACCTCTACCACAGTGGCGTAGCTAGCATTGAAAGGGCCCTGTATCACGAATTTCGCAGAGGCCCCCTGAGACAGAACCATGAGGACCGTCTGATCAGAATAGCTTATTATTTATTAATAATTTTTACTTACAGGAATAAAATAAACATTCTTTCCAACAACAAACATACATATCAAAACAAGGAAAGTATGGTCTTTGGTAAAATTATACCTACAGAAATCAAATAAATATTCGCTCCAACAACCAACAACAAACAAACGAACGAACATAAAAATAAAAACAAGAAAATATTATGACACTAAAATCAAGAAGGGTAACAATAATTATTAAGTATATAACAATTAAAATCAGGCAAATGTGTTAATTAATTTTTCCATATATGGAGACGATTTAAGGTTTTGTAATTCGTTTTCTTTCGATGGACATTATTGCTAGATCTGCCAACCTTTCTTGTAACATTGAGTTGCGTAAATAGCTTTTAATTAATTTTAATTTTGAAAAACTTCGTTCAGATGTTGCTACTGTAACAGGTAATGTTAAAAAAAGCAAACAAGCGGTAATAACCTCTGAGAAATTAGAAGATACGCTACTAAATTTAATCAAAATTAATTCATCCAATTCTTTAATACTTTAAAGTTTTGTTATTTCTGTACCGGGAGGAGTTTCGTAGAAATTAATCGGTTACAGAAATCATGAGTTAAATCAGTTATGTATTTATTTACGAGTTTCAGTGCTTTGCTTTTGAGAATTTTTTCTGGAAGGTAACCGTTTGATGTATACGGGGACATGCGAATGCGTGATGGCCGCGTGCTCTGGCTGTAGTTGATACGGGGTTTCATTAAAGTATGAGCAAAGTTTGCATAAAATTTTGGTGCTAACATCATATTTTGATTTTTTTTACTGCTCGGTGGGCCCCTCAGGTTAGTGGGCCCTGTATCATTGATACAGCTGATACAGCAGTTGCTACGCCTAGGGATCGGCAAGACAAGAAATCTTGTCTTGTCTTGAAATATTTTCAAGAATTAAAAAAAAACCTTGTCTTGACCATTTCTTGAGAGTTGATTTCTTGTCTTGATTCAAGAAATCTTGAAATTTCTTGATATCTTGAAAAAAGGGGAACCCCCATTTAAAATTCGTTTATTAAAGGGGAACCCCCTGTTTAAAAGTCGCGGTGAGATTGGTTAATGTGATGTTTATGCTTTATGCGTAAAATCGAGGGTCAGGCATCTAATTTTAAAATCAGCGTTTAATTGGGCATTTTATTAATTAACAAATTTATTTTTCTGATACCCAGATGACTTTATTTATCGAGGGTCAGGTATCTAATTTTCAAAAATTCAAAAACTTTGGGCTCATTATACAGTAGCCAAAATCATCAGATTTACATAATTTTGTTAATTATTATTATTATTATCTAACACTAAAATGAGTGATTGTGATGGTTCGTTTGGCAGCAAATCTGAGCCATTCGTAATTGAATCTGGTTCAGAATACCTACCACCTTAAACACCCGGACGTAGAAGTTTAATTATTAGTTACTTTGACAGTAGTGACGGTAATAATACTACTACGGATAAAAAAGTCAAAACAACAATGATAAAAGCTACTCTACTTCAGTGGCGTACATTAAAATGTATTATTTTTTATTTAAAAAATTTTACGTTAATTCAAAAAGTCTGTATGCCACTGAAGTAGATCCGCTTTGCAAAGCTTTTTAGCCGACCATACCAATAGGTATGGTAGGCTATTAGGATCGGCAAAAAAACAGTTTTTTTTAATTTCACTCAAAATGAGTTATTTGGGTCATAAATGACCTAAATACAAAATATTTTCGTGGTGTCTGTCTGTCTGTCTGCCGTCTATAACACGATAACTCAAAAACCGCTGAACCGATTTTAACCAAATTTGGCACAAAAATACTGTGGCACCCCAGAATCTGACCATTACTTTGTGGTGGGGGTGGGAGGTTGGTAAGGGGGTATAGGAGGGGGTTAAAAATTTAAAAAAATCGTAACTCCAAAATTACAGTAGCTAGAGAAACGTGGTTTTCAAATTAAGATTAGGAATAATATTTGCAACAAAATTTGTAATAACATCAAAATCAGTCAAAGTCGCAGTTTTGGAGATATAAACATATTTTAGTATGGGCGGCTATACGTGCCTTCCGGCGCCAATTTTTTTATTCTAATATCGTAGGCCATAACATTGTTGGCCCACAGTATGCCAACTTTGGACATCCGACTTTAGACGTACTTATGTCAACTTTGGACAATGGACATCCGACAAAGTGCCGCTTCGTACAAACATTTTCTGCTTATTTTTTTTATCCATCAATTAATGGGTATTCCTATAATATACAAATACCTAAGTAAATGAGTATTTCTTTTTTATTTTATATTTTCAAGAAATTTCAAGATTTTCTTGATTTCTTGTCAAGAAATCTTGATCTTGAAAAGTAATTTCTTGTCTTGTCTTGAAAACCAAAAATCATTTCTTGTCTTGATCTTGTCTTGAAATCAAGACAAGATCAAGAAGTTGTCAAGAAAATGACGACCCCTAGCTACGCCACTGCTCTACCATGATCAATTAAAGCAACAATAGCCGATACTTCAGAACTTATAACCATCTCTAATAAAATAAACGTTAATAACCAATAATAATGACAATGACAAAAACAATAAACATTATTTTATAAGTGTGTTGATGTGAACCGAAAATCAATGCTAAAATTATTGTAAATCGTTACTGTTATTTTAGCATTGATTTACTTATTGATTTTACTTATTCAAAAACGAATAATCCCATAAAAAAATAAAGCTATTGAGATGAATCAAAAACAAACTATCCAGAAAAGACGTACCTATATGAAAAAGTATTTTTAAATTCCTTGCTTTGCTAACATATTCTACAGGGTGTTTCAAGCTTCCACCAAAATATCAACATTTTGTTTCACCTCGCATAATTGACACATGGAAACTTTCATTTCTAATTTAGAAAGAGATAATAAAAAGTCAAATAATTTAGCTACAAATTGCTTAAAAAATCATCAAAATCGGCCCACTAAAACAAAATATATTAAACTTTAAAATACCTTATGATCGAAAAAAACGGCATCCAGTTAGCTTGGAAAATTCCTATACAATTTTACATATAAAATGACAGCGATTTTTATTTCATAGCCATCGCTGACGCCGTTTTTATTCGATCATACGGTACATCAAGATTTTAAAGTGCCCGCTTTTTCGTGCCGATGGGTATATTGAAATTGAAATTATTTATCTATGTTTATAAGTTGTATAAATTAAGAATACTTAAATTTACCTTATATTTGAAATTCCCTTAAAATTTAACCCTTCCCTTATTTTTCCGGATTATAATAAGTTTATACTAATAGGTAATAAAAATCACAAAATCATATTTTTGACATTTATAGTCCAATTTTTAGAACTGATATTTATAAAGATTATTATATTTAGATATACCTACAATCCAAATATTTTTGTGCAATAGATTGACAATGTAGGTTGAAATTCACATTATTTTAACTTATACTCTAACTTAGGAATTATAAGTAAATTTAAGCAAAAACTCATATTATTAATGTACATATAAATTTAGAACACTGTAAAATAAATTATTATTTAAAATATTTAGTTTCATTTTGTTGCCTACATCAAACAATTTATAGTCTAAACAGTATTTAAAAAAAATAATAGAGATATCTATGATCACTATAATAAATTGTTTGGTCATGGTAAAATGAAAAATTGTCACGTGATTTTCGATATAAAAACCTAAAAAAAAACAAAAAGATGAATAAAAACTATGATGCCCCATTTAAAAGAGTAATGAAAAATAAAAACATAGTGTTATACAGGGTGTTTCAAAAAAAATGTGCTATCTCCTTGTGGGGAGATACCTCACGTAAAAATAATATTAATTTTTCTTATCAACATAGGTCCAATTCTGCGGTGTTTCGTAGCTGCAGGGTGTTAAAGTTTAAATATTTTTTCGATTTATTATAATTTTCTTCCAAGTACTTTTAGCGTTTCGTTTCGAGGGTAAAAGTTACTATAAATGCGACATATTTTAATGCTAAAAAAGTGTTGCCATATTCACCAGGGACATACATATGGGTTATCACTCGAATATTTTTCTAAAAAAAGCATATACGCCACTGACTTTTTTTCTTTTGTTACCGAAATAGTGTAAGCAGTTTAATACCGATTAAAAGTTGTCTCTTGATATTTTGTCGATGTCAGCCTCCTTGATGAGATAAACGCAATTTTATTAATTTGCCTTGATCCAAGTCTAATAGCATTATAGCAACCTTTAAAAACTTTTAATGTCAATAACTTGCGAAAGTTTTAAATAAGTACTCATTGATTCCTCATCAAAAAATGTGAAAAAAAGTTCCTATAAACATGAATATAGAAATGCATAGTTTTAGAGTTACAGGATGTTAAAACTTTTTCAAATTAGATTTTTTGTAATTATCTTAAATATCATTACTTTTTCATTTGAAATTGCTGTAGGTTGGTCTAGTAGTAATAATAACTAATAGTAATAATATTTAATAATA